ATTTTCTTGTAACTTACCAACATTCAGTTTTTCTTTTATAGGGAACCTTCTCATCAAGTGTTCTCTCTACAAAAGACAAGCCACAGACAAAGGAAAATGGTCATTCTTTGGCCCACATGTAAAGGTTATTAATGATATGTGGACTCATAATGTAATATATCTTATCACCTCTCCTGGTGTGAAATATAAAATTACCCTAAAATTTTCCAAAGTACACTTAAAAACATTTTTCCTGGTGGATATGCTAAGCATGAGAACAACTTATATGGGGATTTGATCATTAGCATGGCCTTCAGAAGAGCATGTACTTTATCAAATAAATAACTATTAACTGGTAACTGGGTTACGTTTGGCACCAAACTGGCTTCAAGAATGTTGTGTGAATCTTAATGAGCAAAACCAGTGAGCTTGTTTACACTCAACTGAAAACTGCTTCAAGTGTCCAAATAAATAAAAAATTAGAGGTAATCAGATTCACTGATTGAGGTATAATAATTGTAACTTAACTTTTGCCAACACATACCTTTTGTCCAAAAACACCTGTTAGTGAGATGTTTTTCAATGATGATGGAACAAAGTGGTTCTTGGGAAGCTTGTGTCTCTGGAATAAATAGGATCAGGCAAACTAATTAAATGTTATTTTGCACAACAAAAATTTTATAATTACAAGAAAAAGATGAAAATTCAGGTAGATTGAAAACGACTTGTTCCATTCCTACTCTATTCAGAAGCCTTGTTGATCACAGGTTCACCAACTATCTGAGAATCATCTACTGTACCTACCACAGGTCTATCAGAAAGTGCAGAATCCTTAAAGAACTGTTCCACCTGAGCACGTTCTGCAGCTGTAGCAAAAACAAATTAAACATCAAAAATCATTAAAAGTGCATGATACATGTACACCAAAATAACTTGGTCAATAATTTTTTTTTCGATTCTTAGCAATTTCATAATCTTCTTTCAAAACAGTGAACAGCCAGCAATATCTAACACTCCAAGCTAAGATTATTTTAGTTGTCATGGCCAATAGGAAACAAAACTCTGAAACCTCAGATTAAATATAAGGTGTACTGTAAATATTATGAAAGTCAGTGTTAGTAATGTTAAGAGTTTTAAAATATAAAGCTTACAAGTTATGATACGTCCATCAAGCATCCAAACCAGGGGAAGACTGTCAATAACATGCATCCTATCTGCAACAACAAAGAAAGAACAAAGAATCTGAAATATGAAGTATAAGTGTCCAAACAACACTCATTATCTATCATTGCTCAAACATTAAAGGCTAATGCTTGAAACGTCAGCTTTGAAACTGCTTGCAGTGGCCAATTTATGCTATCATGTTACGGGTGATAAAACCAAATTACTCTGTTATACTCTCCTGCTGACACAGCACCACAGTTTCTTTAGAAAGTTACCCTTTTATACATTTAACATTTACCACTCCCCATTTTATAAGTGGGTGAGCTTGATTCCTTTTTGCAATGTCCAACAACTTTCGCAAGGATTCTTAGAGATAGAAGTAACCTTAGAAACTTCAACCTTAACCCCTAAATTCTGACAGCTGTTCAACAGGTAATTTTTCCTTGTACTTCTAATATTTGTCTTGCAAATATGTGATATGAACAAACAGGCCTATTGATGTCAGTTAGATTATCATCTTGATGAAACATTTAATTCCCCAGTCTAAGTTACAAGGAAGTGTATAGGAGAAAGTAAGGAGAATTACTATTTGAATCTGAAGGTTAAAGGTTTAGACTGTTAGTTACATTAAAACACTCACAATAAGCATCCATCTCCAGTTTGTGGTTTCCATGGAGACTGAGATCAAGTATATGAACATGCCGTATTTTTTGCAACTCATTCCAGTCAAGGTCATTATTAGCTAGGACCAGTGTTCCAAAGGCAGCAACCGAAAACAAACCTTCCAAACTTTTCACCTATCACAGAAATAAAATTTTATAAATATCAACATTCCTAATCAAGTAATTTACTACAAGGAATTTGCCTTTATTCTAAACTCAAGACTACATATGCTAGGATCCCTTGAAAAAATTTATTTCAAAACTCTGTTTTGTTTATCTGCATTCAAAGGTGTTATCAACATTATTTCCAAGCTTGCTAACAATTGATTGACAAAGGTGCCAGTCTTCTGTTCCAGAAAAAAATATGAGAATGAAATTGCCCTTCATGCAATAGGAATTTGCACAGCTTGAAAAGGCCAATAAATTAAGTCTTTACAGCCGACATTAAATTTTCTAATACTTCTTTACAATCTTCTCCACAATCCGCTCAACTTCTAAAATTTTATCATTGCTCCTACAGCAAATTTAGTTTTATTTTAAAGCCTAAAGCGCGCAAGTATAAAATTTGCCAACTGAGCAATGTTTTGAATTCAACTCACAGACTACTACGATCATAGACGACACAAGATAAAGTTTAAGCTTTACATTCAAATCATGTCACACTCGAGTTGACAAAGACAATTAGTTTCAATTAGTTCGAGCCATACTATGAAGATTAATTTAATGCAGCCATTATGTTTGTCGAGTTACCAGTAACCACGAACAAAACACTAAGTAAACAGATTCTCATGAATAAAGATTGTTAACGCGAAACACAACCTCGTTAAAATTGAGCCTTAGTTAGCATGGACTACTCGTTTGGAGCTTATAAGAACTATACATCACGAGTGAAAGAAATCATTCATTTGTGAAATGACTAGAGGGTTAAATTTTTGGGCGCAAGTGTACATCCTTTTTTGATGCTTCATCCCATTTTACAAATTCTGATCGATATCAATGTCAAGTGTGAGTAGTCTGTTGTAAGCTTTGAGTTTTAAGCTACTTTTCACGCAACAATCCCTTGCGAAAAAGGATAGCTTTCAGGCAAAATAATATTTTCGTGTAGGGAGGTCATAAAAGAAGGTGAAGTCTGCCTTAATGATACCCTCAGGCAAAAAACATTTACCACGTTGTTAGCGAGGTCAATTTTCCACAGCTGGGAATAGCATCTCAAATCGGGTACAGCTTCAATTCGATTTCCACGGACGATCAAGGTCTGAACCTTTGGGCATAGTTCGAGTCTTTCAAGAGATACTGTAAAATAAAGCAGATTCCATCATTTTCCATCAACATAACAAATCAAACAACACTTACTGAAAGCGTACCTAGTCCAAGATTAGATAGATCCAAGTATTCAACGAGCTGTAGCGGTTGAGATGTCCTTGACCTCAGTAGCTTTTGTACAAAGAAAGAGAGCAAAAAAATGATTAATTAATAGTAATTTCTGATGGGCATACCACAAATATATCTCTCACCTGACTAGAGATCCTCATCATATTCTACATGACTGCAAAAGTTGTTAAAGTGCAGACAGCTGATCCGCTCAATACACACGGGTTTCCTTGCTTTGATTTATTTGTATAGTGCGCGCAAACAGCGCACGATTTCCCCAGTGGGGTACGGTGAGGAGTGGTGCTCATTGCAAGGATTCAAAAATCCCGCAGTGAACGTAGTTACCTGGTAGTTTGGATACTGACTGAGGAAAATTTGTGCAATAAAAAATTCATTGCCGTGAAAAATCAGTGAATAAGTATTTTATCACATGAACACTGCTTTTCCGTCTTCTTCCTGTCTTCTTTTAGCTCGCATCTCGCCAAGTCGGTGAGCGTCTTCCGAACTTGCTGCTCCCGCTTCTGCCTACGGCCCACATACGAGGCTTTTACCTCATATGTTTCAATCAAAACACTCGCGGGTTAGTCTTTTTTGCAGCCATTGTTTGGTTATCTTTCTCCCCAGTATTTACGAGGCTTAAATATAAAACAGTGTTTCACCAACGTACCGACCTCCCCAAATTCCATAATCCATTCCAGATTCCAAGACGTTGTCTCCTGAGGCCTGGATACTCAGGGATTACAAGTCTCAAAAATTCACAACACTTAACATCCACGTGCATTTGATCACTGGTCGATATTTCATCGAAAGTCAGGGAGATTATGTCAAAGTTAGAGGAAAAAGGCTAGATTTTAAGAAAGGAGATTCATCGTGCTAAGTCTACTAAGTGGCTGTGGTGATGGAGGGAAAGGTTTGGATTTTAGCAGGTACAAATAAATTACATCTAATGGGAACTCAAAGGCCAGCTCATAATGCAATTTAAAGCATTTAGGATGCCTGTGACACTTGCCACGATTATAAAAATCTAGAAAACATAGACCTGGAACATCAATAAAGGTGGAAATGACTAACCGATCACATGTTACATGTGATGCTGGAGCTTTCGATGATTAAAACTTTACAATGATCTTAAAAGAAAGGAAAAGGCAAAACAGAACAAAAAATTACTTTGAAATTATTTATTTGCCAACATTTTTGCCAAATTTTTGCTAACGTTTTGTATTTTGTGGAAGAAAGCTGGCTTGAAACCATTTCCTTGACACTGTTTACCTAAAATATTGATTATTTGGGGTTTTTTGGTTGCCCCAATTTTACAAATTACATTCTACTATACACACGTCAGCAAATTTGGCACAAACTTATTGCATATGACATTATATAAATCTAATGAGCAGAATTCTATTCCACTTAAAATAAATGGATTTATGGCTAGTAAAAATTTGTTTAGTTTTAATGTCTTTTGTTACCATGTAGATCCATGAGAGTTAATTCCAGTTTGATTGGATAGACTGTATTGTGTGCTTTGAATTTGAAGGGGCCAAAGATAGCTTAGAAGTTGTTATCTTGATCCAACACCAAATTCTCGTAACTGACACTGTAAAAACCCACATAAAACAACATGTGGATTGAGAACACT